GCAGAACGGCCAGGCGAAGCGTGGCGCGGCAACAGCCAGGCGCGGCACGGCGTGGCGGGAGGACGGCCGGGGGCGGCGCAGCAGGAAAACGGGCGCGGACCATGTGTCAGGGGCGGAAAAATGGCCGTGGACGTGTCAGGGAGGAAAAATGACCGTACCCCGAGGCGGAGTTCGCACATCGAGGTAAATTTTTCCTGCCGGAGCTGGTCGTAACTCAAAAAGTTCGTTAGTAGAGGCGTTCGTATCCTGAGGTACCACTGTACTTTTCTCCTCTTGACCCCCTCTTTAATTCCTGAAAATCTGCTCTGGAGGACTCAGACTCTCTGAAATAGGAGGGAACTCTTCCATTCATGCAAAGGTAAATCTGGAGCCAATCCAGAATTATCTGACAGTGGACATGACTATAAAATGGCCAATTTACTTATGCGAAAGGCTGTGCAACAAGATACTAATTTGGAGATAGCCTAAACAGTCATAGAATTAAAAGGTAAAGAAAAAACATTTCTCTGTATGCAGTTTTTACTAACTGAATCTCCTTTTGGTCCTGTGGTTCCCTGTGGACCAGGCAGACCCCTGTCACCCTTTTCTCCTTGTTCTCCTGGAGGTCCAATCAATCCAATCAATCCAGGATGTCCCTATGAGTAGATATAAAATATATGATTTGCAGTCAAATACTATAACTGAAAGAATAGTATCCAACTAAGTGATAATTACATTGTCAGACAATGGTAACTGTCTGACAATGTAAACAAACAATGTAAACAAACATAGACAATTAAAGATATATTTCCACGTACCTTTTCACCTTTGGAACCTGGATCTCCTTTCAGCCCAGGCAAACCAGGTGGACCCTACAGGTATCAAGAAAAATAACCTTAAATAGAGATGGCGGCAATTTCTGAATCAAGATCATCAAAGGTTCTACAAGTTTAGATGCAATCACATCTCACAGCATTCAGTGACTAATGTCATTCAGTGCACTACAAGGCAAAAGATGACCTTTAACAATATGCTCTTACAAGGAGTTTATCTGAGTAATTCATTGGGCTAACATTGGCTGTGGTTTTTACCCTGCCTTACATGACATTTATTGTTCTCTTTGTGGTATCGAGCAGGCTTAAGAAGGTCACTTTATTTCAGTCCAACCTGTTTTCCAATTGGCCTCAGACTGTAAAACTGCACAGAAGCACAATCTGGCTACAAGTGGATTTTATTAATTAGTGTATTAATTATATTATACTGATATCCACTTTTTCTCCGGGAGCTTAAAGTCACCAATGAGCTCCACGGTTACAGGGAAAACATCTATAAGAAGTTTATAACTAACAACTTTTGATTTAGTTTTTGGTCATTTCTCCAAGTCACCTTTTCTTTCATGTGAAGTCTTTTCAATTGTTAGTCTGAGAGCAGAGAGCTTCCTTATTATTAAAGCAACAGACAGCTATATCAATTGCAGCTATGATGTTTAGAGGGAAACATTGCATATGTTAGCTAGTGCAACGCTTTTTCTCTCTGTGACATAACCAAAGAAAAGAGTCACATATATATAACTCAATCCATTTCAAGCTCTGGCCATGCTTATTGCTGGAATACAGACCTTGCTCAGCTTCAAGCTGAGAGAATGAAGTTTTAGAAAAAGATTACCCACCCCCACGTTCGAGATGAAGAAAGGAAATGTGTTAAGATATTTCTTTTGCAGTAGTTACAAAGAAAATGCACATATTTATTTTAAAATAGCTAGGCCAATGTAATTGGAAGGGCAATTACAAGAGAAGGATGAAGATGCAAAACAGTATGTGAAAGCTATAAATAACAGGTGAAAACTATAGGCTAATTTTTCAAGTCATGCAGCACCAGTTATTTTCAAATGTACAGAAAGGATATTAACTATTTTATTTGTACTGAATAATACCAACCTATTGTGGGAAATGTTTCACAAAATAAAGTATCCACTTAAGAACTTATTGTTGTTGTTCAGTCGTTAAGTTGTGTCTGACTCTTCGTGACCCCACGAACCATATCCTGCCAGGCCTTCCTGTCCTTTAAGAACTTATATCAGGCTGCAACTGAATTAGTGCAACTAATTCTGAGATAAGTAAGCACAGGACTGCAACATAAATCTTACTTAATTCAAGTGATAAGCTTCACTTATGAGTAAGTAGGCATAGGAATATGTTATTAATTATTCATTGAACAGCTGGTTGCAGTGGTGAGAAGACTGCTGATGGTAGGGTAGGGAATAAAATATTTTAGGTTGTAATCCTTTGCACACACTTACATGTGAAGTCCAAAAGAACTTAATAGAAAATCATTTTGAGTAACTCTGATAAGGTACCTAGAAGAAGAAACGTAAAAGTTAATAGTTGGAATTATCTGTGCATTCCTAACTATTAACTTTTACATTTTTTCTTCTAGGTACCATTAGATGCAAAAGTTCCAGACATATGTATAGTTAATTATTTTAAAAAATGAAATGGTGAGATGAAGAATACAGTATTCACCTGCAATATGTTCAGTATTCCTGCTTTACCTAAGGTTTTGCATTCTGTTTATAAATGTAATCCACTGGATATAACCTGAGGTTATCAACTATAGCAGCATATGAACTTTAGGTAGGAATCAGTGTATAAATGGATGGATGTCTATTAGCACTACTTTTCTTATCCTTATCAAACAAGGTTTGCAAAGTTACTTCTGAAGACAGATATAGCTGGTACATTGATAATAACTCTGAATTGACATTTGGTTTAAAATCAGAGGTGTAAGAAGAACTAGGGACACATATGACTCCACAATAATATGGATGGATTTTTTGTGCCTGTTTTCTACTTGTGCTACTCAAGAACAAGTTGCAGATGTTCAGTCTTAAAAGATATTGACTAGAACTTTGATAACAAGCCATATACTAGATGCTAAAAAAGACATGAACACTGTTCTTTGTTATACATGCTCAGAGTTTTCCAGGTAGTTATGATGCAGTACGGTGATGTCATTCTGTCATATGTTGGTATATCTGGAGTAACTGGAGAGGCATAGCTTGACTTCAGTCTGACAGAACTTTTAAAGGTTTATATCTACAATTCCATGTCAAGCAAAAAGATGAAGTCTAGCAGAAAAACCACTTTAGCCTATATTTTAAGACAGTATCATAAACAAAGTACTTACCATGGGGCCTGGTGGGCCATCTTGACCAGGTGCTCCAGGTAAACCTTGTTCTCCCTGCAGGAAGACATAGATTCGGCTTAATTTGGAAGAGCATGCTATGGAAACCTGAACCAAGAAAGGAAAAATGTTATGGTTGATGCACTCACCACAGGGCCAGGAATACCCCTAAGTCCTTCTGGGCCAGGTTTTCCTGCAGGACCTTGAGGACCAACTGGGCCAGTTTTTCCCGGAGCACCCTCTGATCCAGGCTCACCCTATAACATAAATCAGTGTGAATATTTAAATATACTATGTATTATATGAATAGTTAAATATACTGTTTAATCATTTTATTTACAGATAAAGGAATAGTAAGTTGATAAGAGTTCTGCAACCAGTACAGCAACTAATCCTTTTTCATATAAAGCCTAAGGCAAAAGACAAGAAAAGTAAAGATCGTTCATAGCCTGCCTTAAACATTTTTTGTTTGTGTATATGGATCGAAAAAACAAAATTATGTATCTAAACCGTTTGCTACCAATCACAATTAACTTTTTTCTTGTATCAAGATCCTGGTGTTTCTACAGCTTTCCAGTTTTCAGACCATGCTCCTTCCTTCTGAAATTTCTAACTCAAGATTTGGACTGAAAATACTCCTTTATCAACTTAATATTCATTTATTTTTGACTAACAGGAATGCACAGAATTTAATGCAAAAGAGGAGTGGTAATTACAGTGAAGATACAACTGTTACATGTTACCATGTAGATAAACAGACTGTTAACAAGAGACAGCCTAGTAGAATAATGAGCCTCTTAGTTGATGGCTGCTAGGACTCAACAGCTCCTAGGATCTGATTTCACAATGGTGCTTTGGAGTGCATGAGAGAACATTATCTGCAGCTCCTTAAAGCAGCACCTTTTCTTAGGATTGTGTGGCTGCCGAGTGCAGTCACTACATGATTCTGAGAAAAGACATTATTGTTTTAAAAAATGCAGACTGGTGTTACATTCTGCTTCTGCATGCTCCAAAACACCTTTTTGGAATTGAATCAGAAGCACTTACAATCCTAATAGGTACTGCCTCATCCTGTCATCAAAGTCTCAACACCTCTGGACAAATCAGTCATCATCCTTTATTCTTGATTTATGATTCATTCGTTTGTTTGTCCAGTTTTGAGGCTGCCCAGCTCCACAAGACTCTGGGCAGCTCACAACATTAAAAGCAAGAAACAGTAAAACAATAAGAATAAAGATCATGTGAATCCAGAAGAAAAGAAAGTAAAGTAAAATTTTACAGGGGCTCAACACCACCCTACCCCAAGGCTTGGGGGAACAGCCAAGTTTTTCAATGACTTTTTGATTATCAATATGGATAAGAAGTCATATGGATGCATGCTCTTGGGGTGGGGAGAACAATGTGTTCTTCCTGTAGCTTAAAACATTTACCTTTGCTCCTTTTTCACCTTGTCTTCCTTCTGCACCAGCTGCTCCAGGAGGCCCCTGTCACAAAGGAAAGAAGGAGACAAATGAATAATAAGCATAATGAGATATTAGTTAGATGTAGACTTTATTCCCACTTCAGAGATATATCCCTTCAATAAAAGTCTCTCAGGGAATGTTCTTCTGGCGGAGCAGAAAATAACTTTCTGATCTTGATCCACTATAGCCCTTTGTCCTCTTTAAAAATCTCATCCAATGATTGAAGATCATCTAGAATAGGGGTGGAGAACATTTTTCAGCCAGAGGTCTCTCTCTTTTTTTTTTCCCTGAAAAGATCTTGGCTCTGATGACCACAGAGAGCATGACTAATGAGATCATGAATGGTAGGGCCACAGTTTTCAACAGTTCCTATCCCTGTTTTGTTCAGGATGGCATTAGGGTCTAAATTTTTGTTACTAAAAATCAACTCTTTTGGAGAGTTAAAGGATGAAATGAGTGCCTTAAGCTTCTGCAGCACCTGAGCACCCATTTTAACCCTTAAAATCAGTAACTGAAACTCGTAAAAATTGTAAGAAATGTTGGTGCCATCCACTGCACGGTTGTGTTGAAAGCTACAAAAGCGTGCTAGACAGCTATATAAGACTTGCTGACCATGAATTGCTTTAGAATATGAGAGGTGGGTGCTGTATGGACAATGAAAAACCATGAAAGATCTTCTCTCCTCTCTTTCAGCATGTGGATCCCTCTGCTGGGTTAATTATTTAGGCAGAAGCCTGTATAGGGATGCCATAAGAGCTATTAAATCTGGGCTGTAAAAATCTGCTTGATAGCAGCATAGAAATAGAACACACTACCTCTTTATTGCCATCTTGTGGTTATCTAGATTTTTGTAGCCCTGATCTGATAGTTCTAGTAGATGGTGAGTTGTAGAGGATGCGATCACCTGTGTGTGAAGTGGTGGTGAGAGTAGATAGGCAGAGAAGCCTCTAAAACTGGGATTGATCTTGTCTGTATTGCAACACAAAGACTAATTCTAGAAAAGCATATCTGGCTTTTGTGGGGGAAAATGGAAAAGGCAGTGCTGGGGTGTGTGTTAAAGATAGCCTTGTTGGATATATTTTCTGGGCAACTGATTGTTCTCCACACAAGTGATCAGAAAAGAACGGAAAAGTTGACCAAGTATCAGTAAAGTGTAAATAGTTCCCAGATTGAAACAGAAAATATCCATTAATCCACCTGAATGTAAAATTTGCACAAATGTCATCCCAGCAAAAAAGGGCATTTCTTCTTCACGCAAGGAAAACAATGATCTATTTTTGTCAATACACTGTCAGCAAGATGCTTCTGTTTCTGCTGAGTTTGATGAGATTTTAGAATCTTTAAAAAGCCTCTTCTGTAAGATGCATGCATGCATCTCTTTGATTAAACCGCCCAGCAGGCTAGAACAGTTCTAGCCTGCACTTCTTACTAAAGCTTTATTTCACTCTTTGCATGACACATGTATCTAGCAGAACTGACAAGTCTAACATTGTGTCAATATGAATATTGGTAATGAGACATTGCAGTGAAAGCACCCTTCATCTGGAGAATCTTCAAAGATTCCACTGAAGTCTTGGCCAATACCATGGAGCATATGATCTGATTTGCCCTTCTTAATGTTAAAATGTTCCTCACTGCAAAGATGAATTTAAACCCATTAGCTAATGTAAACATATTTCCATGTAGTTTGTTCCACGCACTGCACTGTTCATGTGGAACAGTTTATGGCACGCCATTGATGCACATGAATGGCTTGCTTTCAGTTTCCATACTGTTGCATTTCAGAGCTGCACTTATATGGAACTATAATAATTTTTATAAGCAAAGAAGGAAGAAATCATATACTTTGGCTTCTATGACAAGGCTAACAATCTCTGGATGAACCTTCTCTAGATATGTTAGGAATGCTAGTAGGAAGGAACCAGTGGAAATGATTGATGCATGTTCTTGTTTTATCTACACATGCCAACGGAGTTTCGCTATCTATAGTTACATGGTGGCCCTATAGTACAGCTGAAATATTTCGCATTTCATAGAACCTTTGTCAGCAACAGGAGGGAGAATTTTTCTTTTCCTTTTTACTCTCATATGTTGGAGAATTCCCAGCCCATATCAGGATCATTAAAATAACAGAAGGAAAAATGAAAAGATCAGCTGCATGATAATGATTAACTGTAATGAACTCTTCGTTCATGTGCATATATTACATGTAGGCTAGTGTAGGGGTGTGGAAAAAATGTATACAATGAGTTCGGGGAGAAAGAGTAAATGGAACAAACTCATGTTGTTCATGCAACTCATGTCAGACATTAATAATATAACATGAGAACTAAAAGTAGAAGCCTGTAACATGTTAAAAAGGGACTCTTGGATTCTGTTCAGATGAGAAATTTGAAATGGTCACAGTCTGTGTTGCAGATTGAACAGTAACATGCAATAATGATACATAGATAATCCAGCTACCCTAAATATTTGTGTTCCGATTTGCATTTTACACTGAGGAAAGGCTGCTGCATCCTTGCCAATAAAATAATTCCTCCCACCTACTCCAAACACATTTCCATCTTGGAACTTCAATTTCATAATGGATAGTCAGTATAATTTAGGCTAAGTTTAATAAACTTTTTAAAAAAATCCACTGTCATTTGTAAGATCATTCCATACAAAGGTAGATTAATAAAAGTAAAGAACACCAAAAAAGAAAAGAAAAGAAAAAAGAAAAAGGAACAACATATACCACATATGTATAAACAGACTGTCCACTCACAAAACACTATGTTTTCAGTTGTACTTGTGATGACAAACCTAAGTTTATTGTGTATTATATAAAAAGAGCCTGGATTACAAGAGCATTAATATGTTATTTTACTACATGAGACACACTTGAACAAGCTTTTAAATGGTCAGAGCCAATGCTCTTGGGATAAGAGAAACAATACAAAACTTTATAATAATTATAAATATACTTCTTGCATAATCTAGGAATGCAGCTGCAACATCAATTAGCAGAGCTTAGGAACACTGTGATCGCTAAATTATAAATACAATGAATCATGATTGCCAAAACAAAGGGGAGGGGGTATATTCATTATCAAACAGTAGCAATTCTGCACTGAATGCAAAGTTGGTAAATGAACAGCTCTTGTTAACCCTCACCATTTGCCAGCATTGCACAGATGGCACTTCTGCAAAAGAAAGATGGCTAATTGTTATTTATCTTTCTTTGCTATGCTTAGATTTTGTGGTGTTGGGGAAAATTTTAACTAGCACAAAATATCTCAGCAACAAGAACATGGAATCTATCTATCTATCTATCTATCTATCTATCTATCTATCTATCTATCTATCTATCTATCTATCTATCTTTTTATATATATAATTTTTTAATTAAAAGTTTTACAAGTCACGTAAAAACGAACACTTTATCCATCCATCCATCCATCCATCCATCCATCCATCCCACCCAAGTCCCCAAACTATGATCATGCTGCACTGAAACTCAATGAGTAAATCTGGATTAGGCACTCTTTCTCAGTTTACCCTATCTCACAGGATACTTATAAGGATAGCTTGTGAAGAACCACTGTTGCTGGAAGAAGGGTGAGAGAAAAATATAAAAGTGAACTGCACAACTAATCATTAAGATGACTTGTGCATAAAAACTATATCCACTAGAGCCAGACTGGGAATTCTTTTGTTGAGTGGGTGGGCAAAGATGGATGTCACAAATGTGGGTAGGGGCAGATTTCCTAGTTTTTTCCTGTTTAGGGTGAAGGGGCTTTGTTTTTAAAACTACGTTAGAATTTACACTATAGTTGTATAGTTTCCAGCTCAAAATGGAAGGAAATTGTACCACTTATTTTTGGCCACTGAGATCAGAAGAGACGCCCAAAAGGGAACTTAAGGATTGCTTGTGGTCTTGAGGCAGTTTCACCGACTACACTGATCCCTTTCTAATCTTGTATTGTCACTCTACCCTGATCATGTTTATTGCTACTTGCACCAGAAGATTTTTTCAATTATTTTGATACGTTATCATACAAATCCAGTTACATCCAACAAAGCCCATAGGAAGCTATTTACAGTGCAAAGGGTTGCTCACATATGTGGATTTCCTTTGGGGATTAAAACATTTGTATCATATATTTATGATGTTATTTAGCACACTGATATGAAACCATTTATCAAACACACATCATACAAAAGTTGATAAAGTGGATGGAGGCAACTTTTTCATGAGGCCCTCTGTATGTTAATATTATAAAGTAGTTTATCTCCATCTCATTCCTCTGCTTGAAGGTTCCCCTTGAAATGCTATTCAAATGCTATTCAGAGTCATCTGTCAGCTGACTGAAAATATGCTTGTTTAATGTTTAAAAGAAAAAAAGTGCCATTCATTATTTATAAAGCACATAAACATGATATGGCTATTTGTAAAGCTGAGAACACCCAGCAACTGTTTGCCATAATGTTAGGTTTTCTCTGTTATATACTCAAAAAGAATAACAGAGCTGTTCCTCAATTTACAAGTGCCAGAGACATCCAGCTGAGGTAGCAATATATTTTCCCCTTGCAAAATGGAATAAAGCAAACCCAGGATAAATCATTGCTAGATTTTTCTCATTCTCCAGATGTTAGACTTTTCTACATTATAGAAATGTCTAAATGTCTAAAATTTACCAGATCAAGAATGTTTGTCTGAGATCCAACTGTTTAAAATAGGATGGTCCATTTTATACAGAATCAAAATCCATTTTCATAGACCATAAATTCCCCTTGACTCCTATACTGTATTCCAAAGAAACTTGAAATTCCTTGAAAATTTAACATGGGATTTTTCAACAAGAAGTCAAGTAATAGCAGTCTTCATCTTTTGGAAGATAGAGGTACAAGGTAGAGTAGGACCTATACTGAAACAACTTATTATTTTAAGAAGGGAAGAACTAAGTCCCTATCCATTTGTCTAAAATACTGTGAATGAAATAAGTATATAGAAATACTGCAACAATTGGAGAGGAAGT